TAACATCTGCATGACAGAAGTTTTCGATTGCATCTGTAAAAAAAACAATTATTCTTTAAGAGAACATTGACGAGAAGTAAATAGTCAAGGTTTTTCATTGTTTATAGAAAAAACTTCAATGATTACTAGATTAATTTTTCATATCTGCGTAACTAGAAACCTAATTCATAGTAATATGAGAAAAATCAGGAACTTGAACTTCTCATATAAGTTGTTGGAAATATTTAAAAGGAAGTCTGCAAGACATCTTGACGATGTCACGAAAGTCCCAAGTACTGAGAACAGGCAATGAATAAATAATATAATGCAGTAATAAAAGCTGTTTCAGCGCTAATCAGGCCGTAGGCCTGTCGCCTATTACTAACATCGCAGAATATTCACATCTTGTTGCATTCTCGAACACGCAACTCACTGCTCCAATTCTGCTTTGCTTAATTAACCGCCCGGCCTCCTCGCCGATTCTGACCAGAAACTGTCGCACAGAACTGGGATCGAACCCGCACCTCTCTACTCCAGCCTTGGTACTCTGAACTGTAACCAGTAGGCCACTCTGCACGTAATGTTTAACGGGGCTAAAATGGTACCAAACACTCTTGTATGGCCCCAAGAAGTAACGTCAGTTTGACGCTCGTGGCAACGACAGAGCGTACAGACGAAGCGTGACGCGCTACAAAGGTTACGAGCGTTCGTTACATCACCGGCCTCTGCCCCACCGATGCGCTGGAACGCGTTGACTTCGGTTCCGCTTTAGCTATACAAGATTTCTGCAGGCATGCCGTGCTGGGTACGTTATGCAGTGTTACAACTGCCATGCTGGGTACGTTATAGTGTTACAACTGATGCTGGATACGTAATGCAGTGTTACAACTGCCATGCTGGATACGTAATGCAGTGTTACAACTGCCAAGCTGTATACGTAATGCAGTGTTGTAACTGCTATAGCTTGGTTTTGCCGTGTTCTGGAGCCACGACAGCTCGGGTTGCACAGCAGTTCAAAAGAACTGTCTTAATCGAATCAGTGTTGTTGGGTTTGGATAGGAACCCGGCCGCAGGTTAGCACGTTCAATTTTCCCTTTGAGAGTAAATAACATAGATAAAGTCATTGCCTAAGATCCGGTGTGTCCTTGTCAGTTAAATTTGTTTACTTACATTGCGTAGTAACCTTCTACTAAAAGCACCGTTTGTATTACGGCTAACATTTACAGCAAACCTGTAGCATTTCCTGCAAGGTAAGCGATGAAAAAGTGAGTCAATTTCTTAGCGACGTGAGCGCGTCTTAGACTCACCGAGGCGGCAGGAATGCAGTGCAAACGCCGGTGACATTTGCCGGACTTTAAGCTAAAGAGAATTTATTGCAATCATTACGATATTATTACAGTTATTAGACGGCGATTATTACTGTACACATTTATTTGTATATGGTCAGTCCACTCGCATTACTCATGCTTGCAGACCCAGCATTATATATTAATGAATATTACCTGCAAACCTGCAATTTAAGGCTTTTTCTGCAAATTTGCGCCCAAGTTTTCTCATAGTGAAAGTCTACGTAATTTCAGATAATTTTTCCAGTGCTGCCCGGTTCACATGGCTATTAATAAATCTAAAAGCAGAGGCAATCGCGACTGCTGGTATAGTGTTAACGTTGGTAAAAAATATAGATGTAGTTATGTGAATTCATCCCAATTCATTCATGTAAACCAAAGATCATCCTGCGATTAATTAATTTCAAATGATATACTTATTGAATATTCATCAAATTCAGTGAATTTTTACGAAAATCAGGTATACAGGCTCCTAGGTAGCATTATTCAATATTCTTTAGCCCGGTGTATTGGCTGTCTCGCTAAGCAAATTGAGCGCGTTCATGTTTTGAAATCGTTATCCGAGTTATCGAACGACTTATAAGTGAGAAAAATTGACTTTTTTTTTCTCGATAACGAGCTAACCTTCGGTGCCTCGTGACAGTGCGTTCGGACCTGAGCTACCTACAGCAGCCTTAACCTTTACCGTGCGTGATGGGTTAGAAAAGATTTCGGCGATTCGTCAACACTATACATGACTAGAATACAACAGCTATTAATTTTAAAAAATTGCTCTGTTCGGATACATAGAATATGAACGTCGATTAACTTGATGTTTATGAAACGATCATTTTTCATGATTAATATTGATGTCATGATTTTAAAAATCAATCGGAGCCCGTGATTTAAACAGAACATGCCAATCTCAAAAAACTTTCTCCCCAAATTAAAAATTTTTATGCATCTTAAGATCAGGAATGGGCCCATTGCCCCGCCCCTTGGGCAATGGGCCCATGGGCTTGAAATTATCTGTACGAATTCTGAAACGAATTCCATGCACATTATATCTGTGCATGGAATTCGTTTAATTTGCATTTCATTCGTTCCAATGCAACAATAACGTTCGTACTTAAGGGTGATTTCAGCCAACACCATAAAAACTCATCCTCATTGGTGTTGGCTGAAATAAACTTTTGGCAAGGCAAGAGTCAATAACTCGATAGTTAAGGAGTCATAAATACGCATAACTAGAAACTAGAACCTGCTGCCATGGGGCGGCAAATAAAAAATCATACAATGTGAAGTGTAATTTGTAATTCAAAAAGCTTGTCATAGTTTTGAAAAGCTCATTGAGACAAATCTAATGATGTATAACACAAGACTTCACTGAGGGGTATTGAGCCCACCATGGGCGCTTTGCCCCGAGACACGCGTGGCCCCGTTGCCCCACAAGGTATCATTTCAATTTATATCGCGTCAACATTTTATTTTAAAAGCTAATAGTCTGAACTTGCACTCAAAATTATCCCTATAAATAATACTTTCAAAATATAATTCACAGTAATTTCAAAAACTTCATATACAGCAATCAAAACCAGTTTTATTTAGCAGCAAAAAAACTGAGCGCACGGCCCAATATCTGCCATACTTAGCGGGAAACCCGCTATGCGGCCCATGACCCGCTTGGTCCCTTTGCCCCATGTTACCCCACTAATTAACAAGCTCAAAGGTAGATCAACTGCCTATTCGCATTTCCTCCTCGTATATTAATGTGACTTTCGAACGCAACGAAGAAAATTTTTAAAGTCCGTATCTACGGTTTTAATTACAAATAAAAATATGTACTTATTTATAGATGGTACTTAAACGCTTTCCGATCAAATTTTAAATAAAATTATTTAGAAATAACTATACATACAAAATCATTAAGATTTTTGAATAAATTTCTTTTTCAAATGATTTACTCGTAGTTATTTGTAACGAATTATTTAACCTAGGGTTATCGATTCTTAATCCTACCTGAGGTATCCAATCAACTCAAATTCCCCGAAGACTTTGCCATTAATTGACTGCATGACTGTAAATGGCATGGCTTCGGCCCAGCCCTGCTTGTACTGTATACAAGCGTTCATAAATGTCTGGTGAGCATACCTGTATGAATGGCATGCAATAATGAAGTATGCGGAAGCGCATATAACGTAACGCGTGAGTGGCCGGTACCGCCGACGCTCCCTTGCGTGCAAGAGTTCGTGGCGGTGGACGTAGACCGGGCAAGTGGCAGACATAAAGGCTTTCTTACTTAGCTAAGATTACATATATAATTATAGAGCGTACAGATATGGTACATTTCACAGAATAATCTTTCTGGAATGATGTCGTTCATTTTGAATTGATCTCTTATACAGATGCTTGTAGTAGACGTAAAACTGAAATATATTACGAAAAATTTTCGTAATAAAGCGGTTTACGTTTTCAAAATCTAGATCAAATGAAATTATTTGAGACAGCAATGAGGCTTCTGTTCAGCAGAATAGCAAGTTCCCTGTGAGTTTTCGTGATCCCGGCAGCAGGTATCACTGGTACGGGAAGCTGTTACACAGTTCGATTTTCTGTTCTACAGACGCAGTGAGGAAAGGCAAAGGAGGGCAAATTACCACAGGAAGGAAGTGGCCTATGAAGAGCGGAAAAGAGTTTCGTGCACACATGAAACATGCGGAATGAGTCCAAGCTTCCAGCATATCAATTTAATCGATTAAATTAGTCAACATATTAATTAGTTTCAGTAAAATACCTTTTTCAATAAATGATTTTAATTCTTTTCGACGGATGAATTGGGTGCATTACTACATTTCAGAGTATTTTATGCGGATGATTTAACTTCAGGCATAATTTTTCACGCACCTGTTGCATCATAGCATTACAAGCGCTTTTTTATTATAGTTGATGTCATGCAGGCACAAATTCGGCACACGTTATAAACTTTTTAGCGAATTCATGCACCGCTTAATTATTGTATCATTTGACAGTGGATTTAAAAAAAGAACATGGATCATATAATGCTGAATACCCACTATCCTCACTCGCCCCTTCATCTCATTCATGATGTTGATGTTTCCATCTCAATCACGACCACGCCCTTGAATGCACAACGCAGCCCTGAACATTTACCGCGGAACATTTTTTCAGGCGGAACTTTATTAAAAACGATGCCAGAAGCAAAGCCGGAATCGGTTTATAGAATTTGAGGAAAATCAAGTAACTTCGGATTAAAATTATAAATATAGAGACTTTGTTTGTGGTCAATGTCTTTGTAAGTAGTTTTGCTCCAACATTTTTTCATTCGTGTGTTATCCCGAGCTTAGAGATGACTTTTTTAAATTTCATAGAAGTATTCACAACACCAGCTTTTCATTAAACTTCCTAATATTGAAGTGCATAAACCATCACACAAAACGACGCTGCCATGGCACGTCGGTAGCGGTGCAGAAAATTTAAACAAAATCCGAAATCCTATAAAGTTTATGAAATTATTATTGCAGCGTGCTTTTGAATACAATATCTGTTTTCTATTATTGATTTATATTCTACCAAAATGCGTATTTTACCGAATTACAAATTCCGAAATTTGAGGGAGTAAATAGTCTAGGGGCGTATAAAAGGGAAGTCCATGGTGCGCTACCCTCAGTTTGGTGCCGACCGCAGTGCTGCCGAGATGTCAGTGAGAGCGGTCAGTGTGCGGGTCAGTGAATGACGCAAGGCAGGCAGTAAAACAATACTGAATATCATGCTTGATTCAGCATTAGATTTGAATAACATAGAGTGAAAGATTGAGATCGCGATTAATGATAGTGGATGAGATTATTTACAATAAGTAATTTAGACTACGAAACTTCGTAAGCAATAGTTTCGAAAGATATTTTAATATTAGTGTTCATTCAAAAAGCAATATATAAAATTGAATTTCAATTCTTTCATCACCAAAAAGATGATAGCAATGATTCCCTTGTCAATTTGCTCCACCAGGAACGCCTTATCGAAAAATTTTATTAGAAGCGTTCCCGGACTTTGAACTTCACAACTCATAAGTAGCCGAAGTTCTTGAAATATTATAAACGATTTATTGCCGTTGATTACCTGATAATAAAACAAACCGCAGCCCATCTTGTACATCGAACTTATTTAACTTGCGAGACAAAACTAGAATGACGCAGAAATTCTGACATAAGTGTATGATTTTGGAGAGTGTAAACTCTACACACATGGCTAGTGATAACTATACACATGTAACGAGTTTTAGCTTTACACACATGGCTAGTGATAACTATACACATGTAACGAGTTTTAGCTCTCCACACATGGTGAGTGATAACTATACACATGTAACGAGTTTTAGCTCTCCACACATGTCTAGTGATCACTATACACATGTAACGAGTTTTAGCTCTCCACACATGGTGAGTGATAACTATACACATGTAACGAGTTTTAGCTCTCCACACATGGTGAGTGATAACTATACACGTGTAACGAGTTTTAGCTCTCCATACATGGTGAGTGATAACTGATAACTATACATGTGTGTCGAGTGTCAACTCAACTCATGCGGCGAGCGCCAGCTGGACACTTGTGATGAGTGTCAACTTGACACATGTGATGATTACGATTATCAGCTCAACACCAGCATTAATAATCAAAACTCCAGCAGACATCACATCATTCGATGGTATACTGTTATCAGAATAATAATAAAATGCACGCCGATAACTAAATACTCTGATTATGAACACTTCTCGAGCAAATATTAATTACTGGCTGCTGGGCAAGATTCACTTAATGCAGTAAAACACGAAAAAACTTGAATCGCTCTCAATTTTATTTAAATACGAACTTGGATTCAATTAAGTCAAATGTCACCAACTGGCATCATTACCTTCCCTCATCTGACAATATTGACCCGTAAGCCTGTTTAGGTAAAGTGATATTTAAAGCTGGCAGACCAAGTTTACGATACAAAAACAAGCAAATCGTTTACAAGAACTCGTTAACTCTGCCCTCGCATTTTCAACGTAGTGTGACTGCTCAGCCAGACTTCGATAGCTGTCCATAGGAGATAACTTCGGTCGTATTACGTACGGATTATGTTGGCCACTCGATGGCCAACCATCGCAAAATAAGAGAAATTGCATGTCGAAAGCAGATGAAGTTAAGGCAGAGCTATCAAAAAATTTCATGTATGGCTAGCGCAGCGAAATCATTATCCAAATATACAGCATTTGGGGTCGTTCGTGCGCGCAGAGATGGCAATAAAAAACCGTCCCGTTTGTTGGGTTAAGGTCAAAATACATATTTGGGTCTGAAATCTGAGCCTATATAAATTAAATTAAATCTTTGTTTGAGCTGTCAATCCATATCACGTAAAGAAAAAAATTGAATAAAAAGGAGGTCGACTAAGGTGTTTCTTTTTGCTTCTTTAGTTTCTCAAAAAGTATAAACTGGTACAATTCCCGAAAAAACCTAATTGCGTTGGTGAATCGAATGCAGTCGATGAATGAGAATACAATTAAAAATTTCCAATCTCTAATATTTTTCGTGCTAAACGAAAAGTGCTAAAACTTATTAAAAATAATGAAGAAAGGTAAGGTAATTGTTTTACCATGAAGCATGTTTACCAGAAAAACATGCTTGACTCATTCGTGTTCGCTTATACACATAAATCGACGAGTGAAGGCAAACCATCTATAGCTCAATAAATTATAGATGGATTGAGTATAGATAGATAGTATAGATTCATCTATAATAGATGATTGGATCTAGTACAGATGAATTCTGTACTCAATATATCATGCTGCTGTATAGATGAAATCAATACTAGCTTGCTGCATGGTAAAATAATTGAGATTACCTCTCTCATCACTATCTACTCATTTCAACCACTCTGATTTGGTGCGAACCTCATTTGCATTAATGCCATTTTTTACACTTGCCAAAGACTTAAATTTCGTACTCTACTTTTTATCTACAACAACGGGACGCACGCGGAAGCGTTAAAAGATAAATGTATATACAATCAAAAATAAATAAAATACACCGCAAGTGCACAATACAAAAACTTCTGAGCTGTATTTATCAGGTAATGATTTGGTATCTGAACCCTTCATCGTCGCAGCAGAGCAAAAACTTTAAATTGTGTCCATATAGGATTTCGTGGCACTCATGCCGTCAAATAATTGACTCTGGGAAATTTCTAGTTACATCTTAAACAATGTATTTTAGACTAAAATTTTGTTCCGTTAGGAAGTTTATTCATTGTTTCACTTTAATAAAAATTTATTTTCAACTACATTCGTTTACATTCATGCGTCGGCATTTCTTGCATGCCGAAATTACTTTGCCAGCGGAGCATTTCAACCGTGCGGTATGGTTAACATTTGAAGACAACAATTAAGATTTGCGTCAGACTCGCGAAGTGAAATATTTGGATTTTTTTGCGTAGAGGTGTGTAATGCCAAGCATAGGCCTTCGTAGAGGCCGTTTTTTACATCGAGGTTTTAGAGGGCAAGCAAATATCATTAATTTCATCTAATTTTTTTCCAAACACAATCATGGCTGATATAGAGGAACTATTCAATTTACGTTGAACGAGTTGATGTCAGTTACTAATCACCTACAATTATGTCAGGCACATAAATTAATGCTCGTTCTTACTATGAAGTTGAAATAAATATTGTTTCAAATGAGTCTTTTGAGTCTCATTCTTTTCAATGAGGGACAGCGCTCAATAATTTTATTAATGGTGCTTCAATTAAATATCTGTACATCAAATTAATCCTTTAAAATACGATTGATTCGACCAAATCATTTGAAATGAAGACCTTAGTCCAATATTTGATGAAAAAATAGGTACATTGACTTTTTTACATATTTGCATCTGCCATTCGAGGAATATTCATAACTACCAAAACCCTAAAAATTTTATACATTCAATATATGCAAGTCATCGATTACACAAGAATTCAATATTGCATTTCACCAGTTGTAATCCCATTGTTGCATACCTACGGGCACAGTTTGAAAATTTGAAAGTTATACCCCCGCCAGATCATCACTAAAATAGAATAGTCTTTTTTAAGCATTAACCAACACTTAAATTATCACAACTGTCATTTATGTCCCATTACTGCATTATATCCATGAATAGATTGCATGAAAAAAAAACTCGAAAAATCCAGTGATACGATTGAATATAAAACAGGAACCACGGTAGCGAAAATATATTCATGGTAGCATAATTCATCCCACCGGTTACCGTGGCTCATTACTAGTACAGACAAACTCACAAAGCCCAATGTGTGGATGAGGGAGACATTGCCTGGCCCTTCTACAGGGCCTTGGCAGTTGACCGCCTTATTGTCCGGGCGCGAGGTACGTGTATGCGTGGTGGCCACTGAAGTGCGACTGTGATACCGAAATTCTTTTCGATGTCAGACCACAGATGAATAAAATTTATTACTTGGGAGAGTTATGAAAACCTGGTGAGCATAATGTGGTTATATTAGAAAGTAACGCGTGAATGTCATCAAGAAGTCAATTATTCGTCATTGAATGATTTAAAATGATAATAAATGTGGCGGTATTCTTTGGAGTGCAGTGGCTTCTTGGCATCCGAGTAAAATTAAATTGAATAGCTTATTGAATTTCACAGCAAATTGCAGTAAAAGCAACTTCCCTTTTAGGAATTAAGCAGAGCTTCAAGATATTTTGAATCGAACACCCACGTTCAACTCAAACGATTTGTTGCAATTTCTTAGCCTCATGAACGAACAAATTGTATTTCTAAAATTACTGAGGAAAACCGACCTCATATTAATTGCACACAGGCCTGCAAAGATTTACTGCACTCGCCCAGTCTTGAATGATGTAAATCTAACTCGTCAGAAATGTCTAATCATCGCCAATTAAAATAATCATGCAAAAAAGTTGACTAATTTTTAGCAAGGCTAATAAGAGAATATTCATAAAAATGTGTGTTCCCTCAATGGGAAGAATAGGCGAGGTTCAGCAATAAGATGCAACTAATTTTTAAAATTTTCATGACATTGCTGGCGGCGAACCGTATTTGCAATCAGAAAATAAAAAAAGCCGTCCCGCAATTGCCCGACTGATATACGGAACAGCGTTACGATTTTGCGTATAAATGTAAAGGTTAATACGGCAGCGGCGTAGGAAGCCGCGCACGAGTCTCAGTGACGTGACATTTGCAGGCTGAATCGCTCGATTTCTTTATGGCACGCGCTGTGGCCGAATGAACGGCCGTCAACCGTGATGCACTGTAATTAAAACACTCATACCCGTAGCCTCGTGCATGTCTATATTGCTTAATGAGGATTAATGCTAGTCTAGAATTATATCCAGCCGATAAATTCAATAAGATTCATAACAAACAATCCTAGATCTCAAACATAAGTGTATTGTCCTGATGTTAAGTGTTATAATGTTGGTGATGTGGAGTAGCCAGTAACCTTGCAAGAGTAACGCTGCCAGCACCAAGCATTTTCTAAAAAAAAATCAGGCAACACCTGTCGAGAAGCTGTACCGTTTTGTTTAAAATAATTATGGACGAAATTTTGTTTAAAACATGATTATGGACAAATAAAATTGAAAAACAAATTTCGAGGTAGTCCAAATTATTTCAGTGTGTTGCTAAAAATCGAGTCGACTTATGTAGTTCTCGTACTCAAT